TTTTTTTTTTATTGTATTTTATTTTAATTGAAAAAAAGGTTTTGGCGAAGATGAATGTACCTGGGAGGCTGAAACCAATGTGTATGAATTATTGATAATATAAATGCAAATCGCTGTGATTTATTGCACTTTAATTTTGACTTTACATAAATTCCTGAAATGAAAGCTACGCGGATGATCTTGTTGAAGAATATTGGACGAAGAAAAAGGGGGAGGAGGAAGCTGCATCAGCGTCAAAAACTAAGGGTAGAAAGAGAGCTGCCCAACCATCATCACCTATTACGAAGCAAGATTCCAAAAGACAACGTAGTTCAAAGAAAACAAAATCGCCAAGATCTAAGATGGAAGAAGATGAATTTGATGAAGATTGGGAAAATCAGGTTATTGCAGTTGAAACTGTCACACGTGATGATAAAACCGGAGAACTATTGGTATACCTAAAATGGTATATATTTATTTATTTGTTTAATAATTTATGATATTCTGTTTCAAGTAATAATAAACGAAAACTTTAAATGAAATTCAGGAAAAATGGTGAAACGTCCAGGCATCCAGCAAAAGATGCAAACGCAAGATGTCCCCAGAAGGTATCGTCTGATTCTCTTAACAATAATATGATTTTCAATTGTGTATACTTACGTACCTCTAATACTGTTTTAAATACTATAGATGATTAAATTTTATGAACAACGTTTGACATTTGCACCTCCCGCGAATCATAACAAAACTTAATTTCGACGAAGACAAGCATTTTTAGTTGCTTTTAGACATAGGAGATCAAAGCTTCTGTTTTGCACTGTTTCAAGAAATCTAAAAAAAAAACAAAAAAAAAAAGATAAAATGCTTTATTTTTTTTCACATTAAACCAAGAATGTAAATAGAATATTGATATTAGCGTTCCAAACTTATTGTTAGGTTTTTTCATAGGATTTTATATATATATTTTTTCGTGGTGAGTATCACAGCTTGTTGCATTATCTTTGATTTTGAGAAAACACATTACAATAACGTATATAAATGAGAATGCGTAGTACTGATTAATAAAAAAATATATTCAGTTTAAAATGACGTTTATTTTATTTGGTTATACGTGAAGTAGAGTTTGGAACCAGTTCTTACGTGTTGAACTTGGTTTCATAGGAGTCCTGACCGATCCTTGAAAGGATTTGGTCCTTAATCACATGAAAACATAATCACACTTAACACTTATACCGATATAGGATTTAGATTCTTGATCGAATTATTTAACAATACAGAATTAAATTGATTGGACAAACCTATTCGGAAGATCCAATTTATGATCTAAATCCTATCTAAATTGTACAGTATTATGTTTCATTTGATTTAAGAACTTGAATCCGGGATGGTCCTAGGACCGGATCGGACCGGACCAGTAATTCTCAACTTTAGAATCCAATCGTAACGATTGGGTTGGACCCTTGATATTTGGATATTGATATGTGATATAAATGTAATGCACCAATCGAAGCTACCTGATAAAATTGTGATTTATAATTTTATCGTTTACTATTTTCGATTAACGATAATTGATAAATATCACCATTCATCTTAAGTAATTGTATTTGTACAACCTTTTCAAGCTCCAATGTCTAATGAATTTCTTCATTGCAACGCGTGTTTTGCGTATTTAACGTCCTCTACAGCCCAAGAAACGCAAATAAGATTTTGGTTGACTGAGTGTGGTCACGTAATTTGTCTACCGTGTCTTAATAAACACGGAGAGACCAGTCAAGGTAATATCTAAAACCTAAGTATCATACTCTTGTAATTGAGTTAATATTCTTTCCATAAACATAATATTTTTGTCAACGAATGTTCAGAAAACTCTTCAACCACTACTGAACATATTTGTCCTGTGTGCAATGCAAAATGTGCTGCTGTTGAATTGACTGATCAAGTAAGAGTTGTTTAAACCTTTTTAATGCTAGTTTTCGAAAAAGGACCAATAATTATAAATGGTTTGCTTAGCTTCCTCCAAACCTCAACATGTTTTTTCGACCTGCCTACGAAATAATGGATGAAACTGCGGACGTTTTGAGGGTAATTTCGCCCTTTTTAAAATGAAAAGAACTTCTGAAAAACCACTATTATTTATGCCCAGAGTTTGTGTCATTCAGTTTCAGCAAACAAATACATTTTCGTTATTAAGATTTTTGAAAGATAAAGTGGCAAAGCAAAAACAATTACTTGACAAAGCGAAAGATGAATTACTTCAATATAAAGATACGAAAAAGTAAACTAAACTATTTATGGTTATATTTAACTTATATAATCTCTTTAAATTAACCTGCACGGTATTTACATAAAGTCAATTACAAGCAATTAAAAAAGAAAATCAACGGTTAAAA